AATTAATTAATTGATTAAAATTAATTATATATTAATAATATTAAAATAAATATTAATTTTTAAAATTTTTTAGTTAAATTAATTATAAAATAATACATTTATGACACAAATTAAATTATAAAATAACCTATATTTTGAAGATGTAATTAAGTTTAACGAACCCTTCTTTTCTTATTCTTTTCATACATCTAATAATGCCACAATGACTCAGTCAAAATAAATTTTTTCCTCCCATTTTTAACAGGTTTTAAAATCTAAATTTAAGATTTTTTAACTTGTAATCTTATATTTTTAATTGTTTGAATTATCTCTTTTTGGAGTTTAAGTTAGGGCTAGTACGTCACAACACCATACATTGTCGCACAATAAAATGTTTAGGTTACGTAAAAATATTAAATTTATTTGGTTTTATTAATTTTATTAGTTTATAATTTATTTTTTTTTTTGGTTTTCCGCCCGGTATCCGAGGCTTCGCCCCGACTAATCCGGACTGACCCGCATCGCATACCTGGAAATGGTGGGTGAGTCTCCTAGCGGGGGCTGCTGCGTATACAAGGTTTCGAACTCAATACCTTACTTAAACTAGAACAAATCGCTTACCATTTGATCCAACCCCTCGTTGGTTTATTAGTTTATAATTGATTAAGGGGTTTGGTAATATCAAAATATAAATTAATTTTAATTTGTTAAGTGATAGTAGGCATCAAATTTTATATTAATTATTTATGACTCTTTTTTATTTTTAATAGTTTTAATTTAACTTTTAAACTTTTCTAAATATAAATTTTTGATAAAAATTTAAAATATTATATAAATGACAATTAAATTTTTTTTATTAAATTAAACTACTCAACAAGAATTTTTTATAAGAAGAAAAAACTTTTTAATTATTTTTTATATGAAGTATTAAATTTTTATTTAAAATTTATATCTAAAAAATTAAAAATTAAATTAAATTTGTTAAAAATAAGCATTAAAAATAAACTGAAGGAGTAATAATTATAAATTATTATCTATTTTTAATAGTCAAATTAAATATACATATAATATTTTTGTACGAGGAGTGCTAGGGGCACTCGTCTCCTGCACTCTCCGGCCAACACTTTCACTGTTATTGGGCCACGTTACTCCGGTTGGCAAGAGGTTCACTTCAAATCCTGAAATGAGCTTACGTGGCCCAATGAAAGGGGAAGTGTTGGCCGAAGAGTGCAAGAGGCGAGTGCCCCTACCACTCCTCTTTTTGTATAGGCATAAGGCCCATAATAGGGGCATAATGCTAATGCGAAAACGGTTTAGATCTGTGAGACTGACACTACATAATTGTCATTTACCTGTACACAAAAATTATAATTAAATCTCAAAAAAAAAAAACTATAACCCTCTTAAATATTATAGTTACACATTAGATGATATAATTAGTATATTATGTAATTAAAAATAATCAGCTACATTTACAATAATATTATTACAGTTTTTAAATTCATAAATAAAAGTTTTAGAGAACCTATACCTACATTTACAAAATCATAGGTAAATAAAAATATCTACACTTATCAACTGTAGGTAAAAACCAATAACAACAACAAAATAATGGTTTCGATGTTATTATTTAATATCAATATTTGTTATTGTTAAATATATTATCTAACGATACTATAAGTTGTAATAAAAAAGTTTATATCGTAATAACCTTATTGTATATAAAATAAATATTTCACAACAATATCAATCACAAAAAAGTGCATATTATAACAATTTTATTTGAGCTTCAAACTAATATATTATAATATCAATCACAAAAAAGTGCATATTATAACAATTTTATTTGAGCTTCAAACTAATATATTATAATGGTATTGCACTTGGGCCTTTGGGCCTTCAAGGCCAGTGGCATTAAGCAACGTTTAAGTGCATCTCCCCTCCCCCAGGTAAAAGTTCAAATTCAACCCCTTGAAAAATTGTTTAAAATATATATATATTATAATGGTATTTATCGTTACTAAATATATGATATAACAACATCATAAGTTATAACAAAAATGAAAATGAAATTTAAAATATTTTCAATACAATTTTTAATAGAAAATTAATTATTATTATTTTAAAATGGATATTTAATTCAAATAATTTTAAATAATAATAATTATTATAATAATAAAATGTTTAAAGGCCAATAATAAAATTATTTAGCCCAAGTCAAACACTGTTTAAAATTTTAACTAATATATTTTAAGTCTTTTCTTATATAAGATATTTGTAGGTTATACTTTTTGTTTTTAATCTAGGAATTTTCTTATATAGAGTGTTAATAAGTTTTATTTTTTATTTTTAGGTGATGTGAGATTTTTTTATTCTATAATTTTACTTATATACCAATAGAAAAATAAAATATCTATCAAATAAAAACAAAAAATAACTCATTCAAGTAAACATAAAAAATAATATATTATATATTTGTATCGAAATTATGGTTATTAATTTATTTTAAACAATAAAAGTTGATTTTTGTTAATATTTGAAGTACAAAATGTATTCTACGACTCTAACAATCATATCACTTCCAAATATATATGTATACATATGGTTATTCCTAATTAACCACAATAATTGTACTTATGCAAATCATTCTACTTCCCAGTTCCCACCCTTTTCTCACCCTCTTTTTTATCCTACCTCACCTTTTTATTTAAACTACCCAAAACTCTTAGATATACCCAAAATTTTACAAGGAGATTCAAATTCTCAAATTGCCACATGCGAGTGGGTTCTGACTTGCTTTCTGGTGTCCTCAAGCTAAAATAACCATGAAAAACCCTCTCGAAATCTAATAGTGTAAAAAATTACAATAATCCACGAGAACCAAAGCTGAGAGATTAGCTATCGATTTAGAGCTTACCTTAAACTACGAGTTTGGAATTCACAAATTGTTGCTGTGGTAAAGTAATTGAGCCTAAGAGATCACCAAGGTGCAGAGATAGGATGGGGTAGTGATTGAATTTCAATTTTCTCTTTCAATCCAATTATTAGTGTTCTTGCTTGCTATTGCTTCATGGTGATTAGAAGAGAATGGTTCCCTTTCAATCCAATTGGTGTGTGTGTGTGTGTGTTTTTTTTTTAATCATTGGTTTTGTTCATAGTTTTAAGTGTGCTTTCAACTATAGTAGTTCTTTTTTTTTTTCCCCAATTTTGCTTTTCTCATGAATTTGTAGTTGGTTTTTTTGGAGCCAACATAAGATTCTGTTTTTTTTTTTTTTTTTTCAAAAGGTTAACAACGGTAATGTACTATAGTTATGATTTTTGAAAATTTATAGCTATAGGTGGCTTCTATACCTACAATTGATTTTTACTGTAGGTATAAATTTTCCTTTTATATCTACATTAAGTCATTTTCGTAAGTAGAGTCATATTGTTCCTACAATTCTTTAAAATACATAGGTATATTTAAATCATATATACACAACTAAGTAAATCGTAGGTATAGATAACTATACCCACAAAATTGTGAGTGTAAGTAAAAAAATAGTGTAGGCACATGGCAATTTGAATGCAGTGTGAAAGAAACATAACAAAAGCAAAAGTGGGAGTGCCTCTGTTTTTGACATTTTTCTCAATTTGACATAAGAAAGATTGAATTCTTTGTTTTCTGTTGCAAACACAGAAACCATATAAGGAAGAAGATCAATTGGACCTAAGGAAGCCTAGAAGGTGGCTCGACTTAGACACCTTGTGTTGTGCCTCATAAATTAAATAGAAAAATAAAGTAGACCAAAGATTAGTAAAAGACAATTAATTAAAGATGAAAAGTAGAAAGGTGTCACCGAGAAAGTATGAGAAGTTTAAGTTGAAGCGTGGATCAATCACTCTTTTTAAAATGTTTCGTGTCACTAATGTAGTAGTTTCTTATGGTTATGTTGCTTCTAAGATACAACAACCCAACCTTTCCTTGTTGTATCTTTACAAGTACTGTACTCTTGTACAGAAAGCTCTATCTCACCACCTCTTCCATGACTAAAGAGAGTTTGAATACTGTGTTTGTGAAATAAAAGAGCATATTATGAAAATTGTATCAATCTTTTGATAGAAATATTTCTACAAAATAAAATGGAGGCTGCCTATTTATAGGCCTGCACATTGTAAACGAAAAATAAAATGTGAGACTATTACAAATTTAAAATAAAACTTGTCAGTTACAAGATTGAAACTGATGAGCAATTCATGAATCTTGCTGCTTACAAAGACAATAAATATTGTATACAAAATAATGCAAAACAGCAGGTTACAACATAATGTTAAAATAATGTTACCGGTTACAAGATTTGAATTTGGTTTTCTCTTTAAGAAAGAAACGCACAAATCCATTCCTAAAACAGGAAGGCATGTATTTATAACCGACACAAAGTTATTGCACAAATTTAATTTTTGAAATACAATGGATTCGTAACCGACTAGGCACGGTTTGCAATTTTTAATTAAAATCTATAACACCTTGTAATAGTTTTAGACAGAAAGTTGGAGGGAGGAAGTTAAAGACATGGGAAGAGCTAATGAGGAAGGAGATTATTATTTGTTTGATGTACCAACAAAAAATTAGGCCAAAGGGAATTGACTATTATTATTATTTTATTTTATTTTATTTTAAATTATACAATAAAAATAATCTTTTTTTATTTTTTAACCTACTCTACTCATATATAATACAACTTAAACTCATATGCTCTTACTTAAAAAAGAAGAAGAAGAAGTTATCATTAACCTAATTAGGTTGTTGGCAAAGAATTCTAACATTACCAAAATAACGTTGGCTGCTAATCAACAATGTGAGACCTGACGTATGTAACTTTCTTTCTCCATAATTCCTTTTGCCTCCTTTCACTGGAAAATTAGATTGCTTTGT